CCAGTGCACTGCAGCAGTGGGTTTATTGCCGTGTTAATTTGTAACCCGTGAATGTTTCCAATGAGATGTTTCTAATTTATTGGCATAAAACATTGGATTTTCCTTGAATGCCCCGGAGTTTCTGATTCACCAGCTGAAAACTATTATTACAGAGCACATAATCACTTGGAAAGTGCCTCTGTCTTATCTTTTTTTTTTGTGTGTGTTAAATTCAGCTACATAAATAGCATTTTTATAGCACAAAGGCCAAAAAGATATCAAGATGTTCTGTATTTCAGTTTTGTTTTTACCTTAGGGAAGCTTGGTCAGTAGTGGCGCTCACAGTTGATGTGAACCTTGGGCACTGTCTGTGAACTTGCCTCATAACACTTCTGCAAGAGGCTCCAATCAACTGAACAGCTCCAAGTGCACAGGCTGGGGTTGGCATTGTGACAATTTTGACTGGAAATACATTTTCATCACAGCAATGTTTGGTTATCCTTCACTGTGAGGGTGGAAGGGCTTTGCTAGCATCTTGTTAGATATAATTCTGGCAACTACAAGAGGAGCAAAGAGTCCAGATTGGTCCCAGAACTAGGACAGAGGATTTCTTGGCCCAGTGTTGCTATTGCCTGCCTTCATCTGAGTACATTTCTAATCTCCCCTCTGCTATTTTAAATGTGTTCTAATTGGGTTCTAGTCCAAAAGGAGGACCAGGCTCATTAATAGTTTTCAGTAGCTCAAAAAGAGTTATTAAATAATCTTAGCCCTCCAAGCCTTCCTTACTTCCTCCTTTCATGAACAGCAAAATGGCCTTACCTTTTGCACAGACCCTTGATGTTCTGGGTATCAGCTTAGATTCACACCTTGGTTTAGATTTTCCCCCCTAAGCTTGGAGCAGGGCTTCATGGTGGGTCTGTCACACTGCTGTTCCTCGATGCCCACACAAATAAAGCTTCTGTCCATGGATCTGATCTGTGACAGGCCAGGTGGGCATGATGCTCTTTGTATGAGATCGGGAAATAAAGGTGTAAATCATTATCAATGTCCTTATTAAAAGTCCTGAGAGGTGGGGAAGGCAGGAATCTTTCCTCTGGGAATGTAGGCACATGTAGTGTGGCTGTTGAAAGCAGAGACTCAGCACAGTGCTCAAAGTTCCAGTTGTGAACAAGTGGATTCAGCAACTTGCCCAAACTGCTAAAAAAACTTCTTGGTACGGTTTTGTTGGTAGTGGTAAAAGAAGTACATTGTTCTAAAACAGTGGTGTGACAAAGATGTCTCCTGATCGTTGGAAGCTGGGAGCTGGTTTCATCTTTCTGTGTCTCTATAGGGGGATGGTGCATTCCCAGGCAGAGAGTTGAGTCTGTGCATTTCTTCCTCATCTGGTGTTTCAGAAATAATAGAACTCACTTAAAAATTGTTCAGTTATTATATTTTGGGACACTATGTTCAACCTGTGCTCCATAAGACTCTCTGCAAGGGAGGAGCTTGCTAGAAAACTTTTGCAGGGGCCACACAAAAAGTGACTGAAGCCAAGGAAGTCTGTGCCCGTGCTCTGCAACAGCTTGAATAAGGGAAATTGTAAGAAATGCACATCTGATGGCACTTTTTTAGGAACCTACATATCAAGAAGACTGAAAGACGCTTTGGTAATATTACAAACCTCTGCATTGTGGTAGTGTTTGAAATTCTGCTCATAGTCTTCTTTTTTTAGCCATACAGTAATTGCACCTCTCAATGGGAATGCTACTCAGGAATAACGATCCTATCAAGACAAGGGAATATAGATTATAGTAAAGGTTATGATGGTTTCTGTGAGAAGCTTAACATTGATCCTTTTAGCTATCTGATTTTCCAGGAAGGGGAAAAAAGCATAACAACTTTGAGTTAGGCATGTGATTTGGTGTGAAAATTCTGATGATTAGTTTTAGAAGATGGAACTCAAAGTGAATTTGCTAAACTTTTTTTCTCTCTCTTTTTTTTTTTTTTTGGATGAATACTTTTGAAAAGAAATGGATTTTTATTTCCCACACAGTTTATGTTTTTCTCAGTTATTTTACTTTTTTTCCCCTTCTAATGCAAGTCAAAACTGTTAGAGAATTCAAAAGCAAAAATCTGTTATGTTGAAAAGGCCATGTTGTGAAATATATCATAAACACCCTGTTAGAGCAGTGTCTCCTAATTAAGGGAGAGAGCTCCTGGGAAACAGCGAGCCTGTGACACAGCTCAGCCCCCTTTGATCCTCTGTTGAGTTTTTAAAATCATTGCCTGCCTAAACTTGTCTGCAGCTTGTTACACATTTTATCCATCTGCTGCAAGAACAAAAATAAATGATTTATAATTCAGTTGAACTCCAGTTGTTCCACGTATCACTGACTGTGGAGTCTTCAATAAGAGGGAGAAGAGAGGAGGAAAAGCCAAGCAAAGGCTAAATGGAGTCAGGCACCCTGGAAAAGGCATTGCTTTTGGCTGTAGGGATTGTATAGGTACTGAGTTGCAAGTTGCATGAGTGAGTTGCAGGTGTTACTGCAAAATGGTTAGGAATTTTTGGGTGAAATGTAGTTCAGTGTCTATCCATTGTCTATAAACTGAAATCAAAGCACTTGTAGGGGTTGTCTGGCTTTAATCCAGACAAATATCCAGGTCTCGGGTAGAATTGTGAATGTGAATATTCGAATGTGTTTGCATTGTGTTTTCCCCCAACCTACTTATAGCAAGGTGTGATCCAGGCAATTACTTGGTGCGTGAAAGTTCATGTTCAGGTTTTATCTGCCACTTTGGATGACTGGGTGACCACAGCCAAGCCCTGCAGGTGGCTGCTAATCACTGCATTAATTCCCTCGCCAAAGTAAAATCTTGCTTTGAAAACTTCCTCCATCTTTATGGTTGTGATTACCAACCTGTCTGTGTCAGTCTCTTGTGCAGGACCACGATGTTTGCCTGAGCATGGTGCAGTCAGCCACAGCATCCAGGAGCAGTGGGATGGCTCTGTTGGACCAATTAGGTGTTAGCTCGTAAATCTAATAACAAGAGGAGCTAATTATTCCCTATGCAAATATCACAAGGCTACGTTCTGTTGATTTTTAGAACAGATCAGCACTTCATTTTAGCACCCATATGTTTTATCTGTGTTGGTTAGCTATCACTCCTGGATACCTGCATCCCTCTGAGGGCTACTATTGCCATGAGTCTTGCTCCTGAGATGGAGGCCGATTTCATTAGAAGTCAGAGATTCATTTGCTGTTGCCTGTAAATAAATGGCAGGTTGAAGATTTATCTAGTATCCAGTACTTACCCATCTGAGTTTATCTCCTTCCACGTCTGGGAGACCCCCACTGTTACAAGTAGTTACAAGAAGTCTCCTCTCAGTGGCTTCTCTGGTGCTGTGATTTACCAGTAGCAAATCTGCAGTGTGCTGAAAACGTGTTGTTGGGAGCATGTAATTTCTTCAGGTCTATGAGAAAATAAGTTGCACAAAGCAGAGTGGCTTTGCCAAGGGCAGGGTTGGAAAGAGGAGAGTCAGTGAAGGGAACAGCTCACCTGGGAGGTTGGGCTATGACACTGTCTGTTCCTTGCCAAAGATTTAATGCATGGCAGGGAGCTGTACCCGGGTCCCAGCGGCTGAGCCAGAGGCCGGCGGCTGACAGACGGATCCTGGAACAGTCTGTGCCCTGAGCACAGAGTTTGTAACAGCCATCAGCTTTTAAAATGGCTTTAGTAACCTACATTCATTCACTGCCCTTGCAAGGACTGTAATTCTTAGCACATGCTGAAGCTGCTAATAAACCTGTTGGAAGTGTCTGCAGCATAAGTCAACTTCACTGAACAAAATTATTTGGCACAGGTGTTTTAAAAAGTAAAGTCCTATTAAGTCACTGATCTCATCTGTAAAAAAGCTGCTCACCAAGCAAGGTGGGTTTTCCTTAGTCCTTGCTCCATTTCAAAATCCAAAATACTGGAATTCCCACTACATTTCTCTGGAGACCATTTCACAGGTAATACACATTGCTGCTGAGCTTATTTTCTTGCAGCTTACATTGTATTTACCCTTTTATGATTTGATTGCTTTTAGACCTATTGATTCAGCAAGACACTGGTATTACTTTTTGAAACTTCTTTTTGCTTCTTTTTGGTTGTCTCTTAGTCTAAAATCTGCAACTATTTAATTCTTTCTTCCTAAAGCCATCATCCTATTTGTAGGTTTCTCCTTCTTCTCAGAGTTCCTAAAAGAATATCTGTCTTGTGATAATGTGGGAAGATGTATATCGGGCAAAAAGGCATGTTAACTTTCTGCAAGTTATGTTTTTATTTAGAGTTTAGATGAATTTTGAGAAAACATCATATTGACATGACACCAGTGCTTTTGTTAACTTGCTTCTGTTCCCAGTCATTTCATACCTACAATATTCCACCTCCTCTGTTTTGTTTCTTTTTTCACTTCTATGAAGGGTGAAACAACTCTGTGTTGTGTTTCTCTGTGGGCAGAGAGAGCTTTTTCAGAGCCTTTCTTCAGCAATGCATTTGAGATAGTTGTCTGCCATGAGCTGGTACTGTATCCTTTGGGCCTCTCGCTTTATTCACTCAAAACATAATTCTCCCCAAATTGTCCTCCCTTCAATTTTCTTACCTGGACTGGCTAATACCAAGGATGTGGTAGTAGTTGGGACCAGGATACTATTTGAGATTTTTGATTGCAGGTTGTTTTGTACTTTTTTTTTTTTTTACCAGGTCTGTTGACAGCTGTAACCAGAATGTGTGCACTTCAAAAAGGTACTTGTGTTCCAATGTTCTGTGTTTTTATTTCTTTATAAGGTTTAGAAATTGAATAAAAGCCTTCCAGATCTCTGCAGGAATATATGTAATTTGTCCATCATTTCTGGATTTGTAGTGGTATTCTCAATGGGTAGAAGTGCTTTTTCCATTTTTCCCTCTCAGTTCTAGACATCTTACGTAGATAGTGTGTCGACAGGTGTTGATGGACAAGCAATTTACAGTAATCTCTTATGGTGCTTATTCTGTAGCTCCCTGAATTATAAGTGACATGCTGGCAAAGCTGAACAACTGATCACCAGATACTGGCATAGTATTAAACATGGCTTCTGAGGCTGCTCAGAATTTCCTTCAGCCACTATCTTCTTGGATGTCTCAAATATATGAAGCTCTCCAACAAGCAGGAGACTCTATATCTGCTTCACTGCTGAATTTGAGTGGAGTGGGCCGTAAGTCAGAAGAAGAGAGGAAGCAGGACATGGAGAATAATGGAGGAGTTTATGAGGATTATTCTGAGGAATCAGAGGATGAACAAGACCTGGACCTCTGGGATGAGGAATATTTATATCCTAGAGAAGATGGTTACACTGGGGGTCCTGATCTTGCTTCGCAAAACCTCCCTCACGGCTCTGACTTGGGTCCACAGAGGCAAAAACGGGTTAAAAATACCAGCACCTTGCCAGAGCACTGTGTTGAAAACACCAGGTCTTTGACAGCCAATGGATCCTACTGGACAAGTGAAGACCTCCAGCCACTTGATCGGCTTCCTCCCATCGCTGAGGAAGAAGGTGAGCCCTCTATGAGGACGGGAGGTCATGAGCACAACCTCAGCTTGGGTGGCTCCTTAAAAAGTAATAATGACAAGGCAAGTTTTGCAGGTAAGCAGCCAGCATGCACCCTGACAGTATTACCCAGACCGTTCTTTTCCTGGTATTGATTTGATTTAGTTGCTAATCTGCTCATTATGTTCTGTGTTGTCTTTGGTTCCCCACAGCTAAAATAAAACTCCCCAAATCCCAAAGAAAAATCTAACCTTTCCAGTTTTTCTCTCATTCGTGAGACTAATTTCATTGAAGTAAGTGGAAATCTCCAGGGTGAAAGGCTGCGTATTAGAAGGCAATCAGGCCCTGTTGCTGCAGCAAGGAGTGTTTTGCTCCCCCTCGTTTAGTTTCTTGTAGAAGGACCCTTCAAAGGGAATGTTTAGCCTTAAGCCTTTGCTTTGAGAACCATCTGCCTTTGCGTCATTGCTATTAAAGATATATATAATCTCAAACCTTGTTTCTTTGTGCCAGCAATCTCAAGATGTTACTGTGCCATGTGCTGTGAAATGCTGTACTAAAAAACCAGACATATCTCATGATTTTATGGATGAAAGGCTCCCAAATCGCTTTCCTCCCCTCCCACCACCCCCACAGGCTTTTCAAATAAGACTGAAGAGGACAGCAGGCAGGAGATTATGGAAAGGAGAACTGAGTTTCATATTTTCAGTTTAAAATAGGCCTAACTATGACTTCTGATCATTAAGTGACAGGAACAGCTTTTCAGACGATGGCGTTCAGGGCTGAGTTCAGCCTTGTGACTTGTACTCCCTCTATATCACCATTAGTGATGCTGAAAGTTTCCTGAGTCACAGAGGTCTGATGGAGATTTATGTCCTGACTACACACAGGAAAGCTGCAGTCCTGCTGGCACCATCCTTGGGTCTTGCTGGGATAAAGTTGCTCTTTACAAACATCCCAGGAATGGGGATAAGGGAGGAAAGGGGAGTGGGGGGACTGGGTCTGCAATATGGAGCTGATGAAGAACTTGACTCACTGAGAATTTTCAGAATTTGGCTTCAAATATCTAATTTTTTTTTTTTTTTTTTTTTTTTTTAAGCAGGCAGTAGATGCTCTTGAAAATGTGTGTTTTATTATGACCAGGAGCTTTTCATCACTCTTGGCTTCTAGGAAAGTCTTACATATTTAACCTTTTCTATGCAGACTGTGGAAGATCAGCCTGTTTGTTTTTGAATTTAATAGGAATATCAGACTGAGAGGGTATAAACCTTGACGGTGTTCTTTAATGAATGTTAAAATTAGCTCTTTTCTTTATTACTATTTCTCACAATGTTATGGCCATGGAGTAAATAATTAAAAAGAGCTTTTGGTCTTGTTGTTCTGTCTCCCGAACTGGGACTGCTTGTTTAATATTCCAGATGAACCATTGCCAGTTCTCAGGTTAAGTACCTCGGAGCTGTATCTCTTGGAGTCCAACCCCTACCTTCTGGTATCCTTATACATCTCCTGTCTGATATCCTACTCCAGGGTTTGTTCATAGGGATTGAGTCAATGCTGCTGCAGGGCTGGATTTACTGTGTCTGCTTGGATTATGTGCCTAGTGTGTGCACAGAAGTCATGGAGCAGGGCAAATAGTGTCCTTTCAGGCAATGCTGGGGCCAGGGATAATCTTGACAAGTGCTATCCTGGGCATACCTTCCTGCTGCAGAGTCTGTACACTCTCAAGAGGGGCTGTTAGAGCAATTCACAGCAAATCCTGGGGCTCAGCCAGGTGCCAAATGCATAATTCCAGTGGTAGCCTCCATATCTTTGTCCTATCTCTGGACTACACCCTTGCTGCCAGTGGATGGGAGGAAAGGAGGTGAGCTCTTAGGGAAACGGGAGCCAGGAATGTGCTGCTGTCACTGTCAGAGCTGGTTGTCACCTGCAGGCTTGTCTGCAGGGACATCTGAGAAAGAGGGTCCTTAGGAGTGTGTGATGGACCAGATGAAGTTTCCTGGTGAGAGAGATTTAGAGTGACAGACAGATGCCAGAGTAACCCATCACTGCAGCTAAAGGGAAGGGCCTCCCTGGACCTCTCTCCCAAATGAGAGCAGGTACTGATTGAGTTGCTGTTGAAGTCCCTCTAAATACTTATTGGTTTTCCTTCTCAGTAAGCTCTCTGGAGCCACTGTGGACTGGAAGGCTGGCCTTTCAGAGCTCCCCAGCACCTACCTTGCTGCTTCCTAGAGCTCTCTGCTTCCACACAGAGCATTGCATAGCTCCATTAGGGAGCATTGCATAGCTTGTTACACCAGAAGGAACATCATTCCAAATGCTCTGAAAAAGGCTTTAATCTTTTAATCTCTGCCATGCGCTGCACAAAACACCATCCAATGGTTTTAATACTTCATAGTCATAAAGTTGGTTGTTTGAGGGTTAGAGGGCTGGGAACTGTTGCTTTTTTTTCTCAGAACTAAGTTGTATAATGGGAGAGAAAGTGCTGAACTGTGATTTGAAAATGTCTTCCACAAACTCTTTGATGTGAAAGAACTCGTTTTGCTCTTCTAAGTGAACTTTCACTTCCAAAACACACATGCTCTTTATATTTTATTTTTCAACTCTTTATTTCCTCTTTTCCCTTTAGATTCATTCTCTAACATCAAGAGTGTGAACTCTTCTGATGGTAACCTAGACATGCAGAGGGACTGTAATACCCTGGCAACTTAAAATTTCAGTCATGGATTAAAATGATCAAGAGAAGATATTTGAGGTATCCTTATTTCTGTTAGCTTTGTTACCTAACCCTGAGTGACAATGTAAGCAAGTGTATGGACTTGCTGACATTCAGCAAAGCCATTTAGTAGCATCAGAACGAGCTTTGAACATTTTCCCTTTCATTTGGTGGTTCCCCCCCTTCATTTCTGCAAAATACATGTTTCTTGTTTATCCTTATATTCTTTTCAGAACATTGCATCTTGACTTTATTTCACTTAATGTACCACATTTCTCTCCACAATAGAATATTTTAAAGCTAAATTGGCACAAAACAGTAGCAAAACTCAATGCTTTTTGTTGCCATGGAAATATTTCTGGGCACTTACTGAAGACCTGGTTGCCAATAGTAATGTAACAGAGAAAATAGATATGCTTCATTTAGCAGCCACTGGTGATTAAAGAGCCACAGAAACTTGTTACAAGGTCATTCCAATATATAGTTTATTGGGTTTAGGGAAAAAAACCCCACAGCTCTAGATGAGAATAATTTTCTTTTAAAAGAGATGCAAACCAAAATCCAATAGATGTTCCCTTCTGTTAAACTGACAGCATACTTCTGAGATGAAATAAAATAAAGTTGTAGCTAAAAACCATCATTACCCCTTCTCCTTTTTACCAAATATGTTTTTGATCATATTTTTGCCTCCCAGGAAATGTTTCCTAACTCCCAGAGTAGATTTTCTTAGGCTCTAAAGCAGCATGCACATTGTTGAAAACCATTTTTAGTCTTAGGGATTTAATAAAGTGTTTGAGCAATGAAATTTTTGGGTTCTTGAGTAAAACTTCTGTCAGACACTGTGAGGCATGCTAATCACAGGGTGCGGGTTTGGCTGCTACTGAGCCCTGGTCTGTAATTAAATGATGTTAGTAAAGTTGTAGCAAGGTTTCCAACAAACGCAGGAAAAGTTTTTACCTTCGGGTGCTTTTGATTCACAGCTTATTAATGAAGGGAGTTCAGGAAATATTGCAATGCCTGGTGTTCGTTTTAAGAAGTTAGTGATGGGAAGGCAGTGCGTGCAGATCCCTGCCACCACTTGCAAATTACGTAGTTCTGAATTTTGCAAATACAGATGAACTTGCTCTTGCAGACCGTGTCCGTTGTCTGACCTCAGTGTTTCTGATAAACTGTCTCACATTGCAGAGCAGAGAGAGACCAGCCTTTGCATCCCCCTGTGGCTTAAATCCTGCTGCTCAGCTGACTGGGGGTGGCTGGCAAGAGTGTGGCTGCCAAATCCATCATTTCACATTTGGCTTAAAAAATTGAGAGAAAAAAAAAAAGCACAACAGCAGAGCAATAAACCACATCAAAAAGTAGTGCACTGCAAGTAGAGGGGTAGATGTGGCCAGTCCATCCTCTTCCCAGCATGAATCTATGGGGAAAAAAACAGTAATAATGAGAAAGGTGAAGAACAGCACTAACTGTGCCATGAAATAAATGGATTTAGCCCACTTCTTCCTCAGGGCCCATGTCCTTTGCAAAGAAAAAGCCAAAGTGACCAATAAGTTAGGAATTTCAGCAGACACTGCCCTGAAAAGGCATGGGGACAGACACAGCAGCAGAGCTGAGTTTTCTGAATCAGAGCTGAACTATTTTTGCCTAGCAAGTTCTGTGATGGAAGAGTCTCCCGAGCTGTCTGACACTGTGTTCGTAAACACTGGTGTAATATATAGGTGAGCACGACACTTCAACTGCAAGAAGTCCTTGGAGATTTTCCCCCATCAACTAGACAATCTCAATGCTAGCCAAAGATGGCATTTTAGTTGCACTAAAATAATTTTTGTGACCTTGGAATGCTAAGAAGTCTGACATCCTAATAGGAATCTTACCTAGATGGTTGGATAGTGCTCCTCAATACATGTGCAAGGAGAGGCACACCTCTGAGGCCCTAGAAGTTTTTAAAACTAGAAAGCACTATTGCATCTAGTTACCTTGGCCTCCAGCTTCACAGGGGTCATTGATTTTTGCCACTAATTGCTGTGGTAAAGGAAATTATTCTTTCTGCTCTATATGAACACTCCCGACCTCAGTAAATGACCTTTCCATGTGGGCAGGAAATCCTAGGCAAGAAGTGAATTTTCATTAGGTCCTATAAGCCCATATAGCAAAATAAACCCACAAAAAAAGATACTGATTATGTGATAAATTAAATTTCTGCTTGTACTTGAGACTAAAATAGGTAGATGACCAATCTCCATGTAAAGAAGTGAAATGTTTATGGATTTTATCACCTGTCTGGGTATGGAGCCAGCCA